CTTGTGGGGTGACCTGCAGACCTCAGGGGTGATGGGCTAGCACAGGCTTGTGTTGGGGGGACTTGCAGACAGTCACTCAGGGGTGATGGGCAGCACATGCTGGGGAGGGACCTGCAGATCTCAGGGGTACTGGACCAGCACAGGCTGGAGAGGGACCTGCAGACAGACACTCAGGGGTGATAGACCAGTAGAGAATGGGAAGAGACCCACAGATAGACACTCAAAGGTGATGGGCTGGCACAGGCTGGGGAGGGACCTGTACAGACACTCAGGAGTGATGGAATGGAGGCCAGAGATAAACTGCTTGGTGGTCTGAGGCAGAGGTCTGACAGAGGCTGAGCCTGTCCCTGTCTCTGAGGCCTGTCCCTACTTGTCAGTGTAAGAGGAGCACAGGAAGAAGGAGTCCAGGCCATGGTAGAATCAGCCCCCTGGAGCCCCAGAGCAGGGCTACTTGGCTGAAGTCTGTCTTATTTTCCCCAATGGCCTGAAAGAAGAGGGGCTGTGCATGCCAATTGATTTCCACTCTTGGTGATCTCTGCTCCATGCTGAGACTGATTGTCTACACACAGGGTGCTGGGGGTTAGTTCTTCAGCTTGCCCATGGGAAGGCCAAGGAGGAGCAGCTGCTGGGACCTTGCACAACTGTGAGCAGGAGACTATCCAGTCCAGAGGGGCACAGCTGGTGAGTCCCTGTCAGCAGAGGCAGGCACCCATACCCAGCCCTGGGGATTTGGGAGGGTTGCACAGCAGCTGCAGCCCCAGTGCACAGACCCTGGGAAGAGCCACAGTGCCCCCTGCTGCTCACCAGGCAAATATCAATCTTGGTGGAAATGGTGTCAGGAACATAGCCTGGGAGAGGTGGCCCAAGGATGTCCATAGGCCACATTCCCTTGCTCCATCTCAAATTCACTCATGTGAGTAAGCAGCCTTTGCCTCTGAGGAACTCCTGGACTCCCAGGAGGTTAGGGCATGGGGAATGTGGTCCTCACAGCATGTGAGGAGGTTGTGGGAAAGGGGTGAGAAAGCCGAGGGGGCTCTGGGAGAAAAGACGAAAAGATCTGGGCAGAGGCTTCCTCAGGGAACTGGGAGCAGAGAGAGAGAAAGCATGCCTTGCTCACTAGGAACAAAATATAAACCCCAAAGGTGCATCCTCCAGCCACACCCCACCTGCCTATAGTTACTACAGGTAATCCATATCAGTGGATTAATCCACCAATTAGGTAGCACCTCTCATAATCTAGTCATTCACCTGTGAAATTCCTTGCATTACCTTGCACATGAGCTTTGAGGGGAGAGTTCATTTCTAAAACATAACATTCAGCAAATGTCCTCTACTGCCAAGTCTCGACAAATGGGTCACCAGATGCTTGATGAACCAAAGGAGGCCAAATAATAAATGATCTTATGTTGTTGTAATAAGAAAGTCTTTCTTCTTTTTTAAAAAATATTTTTTAGTTGTATATGGATACGTCTATTTTTATTTTTATGTGGTGCTGAGGCTCGAACCCAGTGCCTCATGCGTGCTAGGCAAGCGTTCTACCACTGAATTACATCTTCAGCCCATCTTCTTTAGAAAAAGAAGATGTGTGTTCCCCCTTCTGAACAATGAAGAAGGTGTCACAGGTGATCTCTTTGACCGGTCTCTGGTCCGCTTCCATGGCCCTTTCCTTGACTGGGCCCATCCTTGGCACAACTGGAGAGCTCAGGTTTCCCAAGAATTCTGCTGCTGAGTCTGCACAGAGAGAACTCAACTCCTCCTGTTATCTTCTCACTTTTTAAAATTCTTTTCCCCAGAGATTTGAAGTTTTATTTTTTTCAATATCTGGTCAGAAATCTCAAATGGTTAGAACTGTTAGATATTTGCTTATCATTAGGGTCACCACATTAACTTATGCTAACAAGTCATCAGTTTTTAAATTAATAGTGCTATAAATATTGTTATATATTAAAAATCAATGTTACTCTTGCACGCCAGTTTTCCCCATTTTTTTCCTCTAATACTGCCATTTTAAAAATTAATTAATTAATTAATTTGAATTAATATGTATGACAACATTTTGATTCATTGTACACAATTGGAGCACAACTTTTCACATCTCTGGTTGTATATAATGTAGCACTATATGTGCAGTCATCCATGTCCCTAGGGTAATGATGTCCATCTCATTCTACCATCATTCCTGTACCCATGCCCCCTCCGCATGCTCCTCCATTTTGCCCAAAGTTCCTCCATTTTTCCCATGCACTCCCCCCCCCATATGGTTCAGCATCCACTTATCAGTGAGTGGCCTTTGGTTTTGTTTTTTGGGGATTGGCTTACTTCACTTAGAATGATAGTCTCCAACTCCATCCATTTACCTGCAAATGCCATAATTTTATTTTCTTTTAATGCTAAGTAATATTCCATTGTGTATATAAATTTCTCATCCTCAACCCTTGGTAGCTTGTCACCCTGCCTGTCTTAAGCAAAGATCATCTTCCCTTGGGCCAACAAGAATCCCCCGACCACTGATATTTCATCCCAGTAATTTTCTATGCACAGAACTGCTCCATGCCCACCTCCCTTGGGCTATAAACCTCACTTATCCTCCCCTTATTGAAAGTTGGGCCTGATCTATCTCCCTGGATGGGATAGTCTTTATACCTCTCAATGGTCCTGAAAAAGGCTTTTAGAATAGTTTTTTTTTTAAACTGGTATCAGTAGGGCTACCTTCCTTTCTGTATGTCCCAGAAGACAAACTCTTTTCTCCTTCAGTTTCTAGAGGCTTCCCACATTCCTTGGATCATGGGCTCCTTGCTTATCTTCAAAGGCCAGTATTGGTAGGTTATGCTGTCATCTCTATGCTTCTCAGACTGCAGGTGGGAAATACTTGCTGCTTTGAAGGTTTATGTAGAGAATTTGGGCCAACCTTCTTCATCTAGGATGGTCAATCTCAAGGTCTTCTACCTAAATCATATCTGCAAAGTCTTTTCCCATAGATAGCAACATATTCACAAGTTTCCAGGAAAACTACCCTGAATGTGCAAATCCCCGACAATTTCAATACACACAAAATTGAGGTTTACTTGGTTTTGAAGGAAAAAGAGGCACAACTATAAAAGAAAAATGTCATACATGGAGATATGATGGGTATCTGTGAGTCCTGGGGATCCTCTCAAATGCTAGCATCTGTGTGACACACACCAAACACTTGAGAATGAGCCAATCTCGCAAAGCATTCTTTAAAGAAATGTATGAACATTTTTTAGTCATAGAATTTCACATATCTATCACTTGTCCCTGTGGAAATTCAGCTGCCCACTATAAAGCTACTTGTACTTTGGTTAGAGCTATTGCAGAAGGGTTATTATGGTCCATTTCTCCCAGAACAAATTAGAAGGAACCTCATGGCAATTGTAGGAACATTTTTAGACTCAGACTGTTGAGAATTAAATTGACTCTGTAAATGCACTTTAAAGCAATTTTAATTTTAGCAATGTATAGGTTTTGACTTGTTTTCTCGAAGGAATTTGAAACTTTCAGACTGCCCACTATCTTAAAAAAAAAACAAAACAAAACTCTGTTCCACAAGAATACACCCAAGATTGACATTGTGAACAAGACATTAAAAACTTTTAAAACAGAGGCAATACAAAATTTTGTGAGAAAATAAAGGATGTGGATCATATGTGTTAATAATTTACTTGTTATGAAAACCCGTGCCAAATGCCTACGGCACAGGACTCTGCAGATGTGGGTAAACCGCAAGAATAACACAGTCTAAGGAGGAAGTCAAAAGCTTTGTGAAATGTCAAATGACAACCAAAGTAACTGCCCAGAAGCAGCAGCTGGCAGTGCCCAGAGGCATCTGACTGGACAAAGTGACCCTTTGAAGGGATCCGAGGAGGAAGAATCACACGGACCATCTCTGGACCAGTGGAGGAAGGCGTGCTCACTCAGGCATCGGGTCGGAGAGGAGGTTCCAGCAGGGGTGACAAGCATCCGACTTTCCCTTGGGTGGCTATCTCTGCGACCTGGGGTTGAAAGGCCTGTGGAGCTTTCCCTAAGGGCAGCAGCTGGTCCATGGTGCTCTCCGCACCTGGGGCCCCCAAGCCTCTTCCCTCAGCAATCCTGGCAATCTTTGAAGACAAGCTCACTGCAGTTCCCCCAGGAGACCTGGCTCTCTTCCTCTCCTGTCTCTGCTGTGTGGGCCTTCTTGTCCTCCAGCCTCTGCTCACACTTTGGTCTTTCTGGTCTGCCTTCCTCCCCCACAGATTCATGCCTCTTCATCCCTGAAAGAAAAGCTCAGACATCCCTGTTTTCAAAAAAGTACAGTGGCCTTCCTTCACCACATCTGTTGTGAAGTCTCTGGTTTGTTGATTTTCTTTCTTGGACCCAAAGCCTCCTTTGGATATTTCTATAGGCATATGTATTGATATATAGGAAATTTGAATTTTAATGTCTGTCTCCTCTCTTGAGACTGCAACCACCCCAACTATGCAGAAACCAGCATGGATCGGGGCTGGGAGACCAAAGAAGGTGACCTTCACTAGACATAAAATCAGGGGTTTTAACTGGCATTTTAGCTTGGCCATGTCCTACATCCTCATGTCCCTGTAGCCAACTCCAACACAGTCCCTTTAGGATGGTAATAAATTACATCATCAACATGATGTTCCAGACCCCACCCTTGCCAGGGACCACCACACTTTGCCTGGGAGAGGCCTTCTCTATCTCTGTGTCCCACCATCCTGTCCAGTGCCACTTGTCACAGACCAAGGAGCTCCACTGGGATGACAAGAGAAAGGCCAGCATACCTCAGTCCACTCACCAGCAGAGGCCTCGGTCCCCACCCATTTGACCTGGGCACAGAGATGCTTCTCAGTGTCACTGTAATGAGTACGACCTGATTCTCATCAGCTCCTTACTGTAAATGTCCAAAATCATGGCCAAATATGTTACAGAGGTGCAGGTGATTAAGTCAGAGGGCAAAAGATGGTGATGTTGTGAGATCAACCCTTCTAACTGGAAGGAGGATGCCTGTTCACCAGCAGCTTCCTCAGCGCCACCTTCATATCCTTGTTCCTCAGACTGTAGATGAGGGGGTTCACAGTGGGTGGCACTACAGTATAGAATACTGAAACTAGCAAGTCCAGGGTTGATGGAGATTGCGGCAGGGGCCGTAAATAGGCAAAAAAGCCAGAAGAGAGGAATAGAGTCACCACAAGGAGGTGAGGCAGGCACGTGGAGAAGGCTTTGAACCTACCTGCGCTAGAGGGCATCTTCAGCACAGCGGAGAAGATGTGAATGTAAGAAATATCCATGAACACAAAGCAGCCAAAGTCCAACAGCAGGCTCAGTCCAATGACCGTTAGCTCCCCAATGTTGTAGGAGCAGGCCAGGGCCAGCAGCTGTGGGACGTCACAGAAGAACTGGTGAACATCAGGAGACCTACACCTGGGTACGGAGAAGGTAGCCGCTGTGTGCAGGATTGCATTGACACCTCCACTGACCCAGGAGTAGGCTGCCATCTGCATACAAGCTCCATGGCTCATGAGGATCTCATACCTGAGCGGGTGACAGATGGCCACGTAGCGGTCATAGGACATGACTGTGAGTAGGGCTACTTCCGTTGTGGCAAAGAGGAAGAAGAAAAATACCTGGGAAACACACCCAGGGAATGAAATGGTGTTGCAATTTGTCAGAGAGTTTGTGATGGATTTGGGAACAGTGATGGAGATGAGGCACAGATCCAGGAAGGACAAGTTCTTTAGGAAGAAGTACATGGGGGTGTGCAGCCCATGGTCCTTGGTGATGAGGGTGATGATGAGGAGGTTCCCAAGGAGGGCGGCCAGGTAAGCCATCAGAAAGAGTGCAGCATGCAGGATCTGGAGCTCCCAGATGTTAGAGAAGCCCATGAGGAGGAAGGAGCTCCCAGAGGTGAGGTTTTCCATCTCTCTGGATGTCCCAGCATTTACTATGAAAAATAGAGAGAGTGAGCTCAGGCTTCACCCAAAGGCTTCACTTTTGTGTTTTCCTGATTCCCTGCCTCTCACTCACCCGTGCATGGATCAGGAAATGTGAGATGACCTGAAACTGACACCAGCAAGCCTCCATGAGGCTATTTGAGCACCGTGTCCACACTGTGTGCATGATGGAAGAGGGAGGTCAGCCTAGTCCAAATCATGAGGCTGTCATCTAATCTGCACGAAGGTCTACGATCCATACCTGACTCAAACGTCACATACTTGACACTAAAATAGAAGAGGCAGGGGCTTTGGAGCCATCAGTCCCAAATACAAATTTTCATTGAGACACTTATTAACACTGAGACCCCAAATAAATTATCCAAACATCATTTCCCTCAATTTACAGTGTAAGTTTTTCCACCTGGTCTCTGATCCAAGTGAATAATGCACATAAAATATCTAACAGTTTGTGAACAAGAAGGTCTTTAACCCATACAACTTCCATATGGATTCAGCCTTCCTTCATTATGGCAAAGTCAGAAAAACATTGAAAATGTGAAAACAATAGAAAAAATACTGAGTGTTGTGTCTAGTTGCATTTTATTACTTTGAGCTACTTTACAGTGCTGGAGGTTTTAGGATATTGTCAACTATGAAGATCATTCTTGTTCATAGAAACAGAACTGATTCAAATTTTCATGTAGTGCAGTAGGTTGCTGCTCTGTGGACCATGTCATTCACATCCCTCTGTAAACCCCATCCTGCTCCATTTGCCTTGAGTATGACACTTTGATTTCTCCTCTGAACCACTTGTGATGTCTTGCCAGTCCCTCCTTATTTAATGAGCTAGACCAAATTTTATCCTGCACTTTTTATTGACACAGTATCTGTGCATATCTTGGGGCACAGTATGAGTGATATGTAATGATTTAGTAACCAGCATTTGCTTCTCTCCAACACGAATCACTTCCATGTGTTGGGTGGTAACATTTAGACTCTTCTCAGTATTTTGAAATATGTTACAGACTGTTGAAGGCTAAGGTCACCCTACTAGACACAGGAAGACAACACCACACGTTCTCAACTATTTGTGAAAACTGTAACACTGACCTCATGGAGAGGAGAGTGGAATAGTGTCACTGAGACAGGGAAGAGTGGGGAGGAGTGGGCCCAAAGAGGCAGGAAGGGCAGGAAGACACAGTCAGGAGGAATTCATTCTGGGTTCCATAGCCTGTGCTTGTTTTATATTCACATGAGAGTCTTGATTTTACTATCTATCTATCTATCTATCTATCTATCTATCTATCTATCTATCTATCTATCTATCTATCTTATTCAGCACTTACCTGGATAGCAATTCCTAATATTCACAGCCATACTTCGTGAAAATACTTGATAGATCTTAGGGGAATAATACATCAGAGACAGACAAGAGAAATGCAAAGATGCTCTTCATTTTTTTGTCGTGTCATAGTTTACTAAACCCTGCTGCTCGGTAGCACTGATCTGTTTACTGTAATATCCACACTAATTTCTTGCACACACAGGCCTTCTTATCCTTTCCAAAATCCTCAAAGTGGGTGCCCTTGTCTTTCAGGCTACACTGCAGTGAATCCTAGGCAGTTGGGGCACCAATTCCCCGCTTCTGTTCAGAACCGCCTGCTGGTTCTGCTTTCCCCTTTGGGTCAGTCTGGGTGCCACAGCCTTCCAGCCTCACCTGTCAGTGGAGGTGGGCTGCTTGTCACCAGGCTGAGGGTAGGAAACACCTGCATGTCTCCACCAAGCGCTCTCTCTCTTCTGGTTTGCTTTTCTGTTCCTTCCCATGTCTCAGAGGAGGAAAGGCCCTCTCCTTCACAGAGCTGTAGTGCAGATTGCACTGGGGACACTGATGCTGTTTTGCAAAGTGAGTTTAACATCCATGTTTCCAGGTGTGTTCTGAGGAGCCAACCTAGGCAGGATCCCTGTGTGAGGGCTAGCAGCCACTCCAGGGCTCCCTCTTGACCAGTTCCTAACCCAGTGCTTATTTGGTGAATGCCAACAATGTTTTTCCTGAAAAATGCTATTAATCATTCACACCAAGCTTTTTGTTTTGTTCTTGATAAAACTTCTGCACTAAAAGACTTTTTGCCTCCTGCCTCCCAGATCTACTGAATCATAAACCCTGGGACGGACACAGGGCAGGAGTGCTGATGCCCACTCAGATTGACGTGGTGCCTGCTGGTGCTGAGGCTTTTACTGGAGACCTTCTCATTTTTTTTTCTTAAAAATATTTGTACCCATCACTTTCCACTTTTCTTCTGTCTCCTGAGTAAACACAGACTTACTCTGTCGTTTCCAGCTGTCAAAATAAATTCTCAGCAAGAGCCCCTATTCCTTCTGGAGATCCAGTCACTTGTCTCAAAACAACTACGTGGGAATTACATTTTAATTCTCTGATAAGTGGTAATAGAATAATTTCCTAAACAGTACCTGGAATAAGCATGTATCGTGGCACCCAGGGGGCCAGGCAAGGGCAGGCAGCCAGTGTGTCATGAGTTGGGAGGAAACAAAGAGGATCTGGTGTAGAGAGCAGAGGAAAGGGGAAGATCCTTCAAGCTCTGCTCCTCAGGGGTATGTGCTGAGGCGGAGGTCTGAGAGGTGCTGGAGGAGGAGGTGGGAGCTGGCGAGAAGGAGCGGAGGCTGAGAGAGGAGTTCTCACCTGTCCTGCCTCAGCAAGGGCACCAGGGCCTGCTGCAGGGCTGCAGAGAGGCTCATCCCTCGCACAGCTGCTGTCCACATTCAGCAACTTGCCAGCTGGGAGTTTGAGGGACAGGGAACCAAGTGAGGATGCTACTTTTAAGAGCACACGAGGGCGCCATCGCAAGAGGTTGGCAGGACAGGGTCACACCAGGCGTGAGAGAGAAAGAGAAAGCACAAAATAAGGAGGAAAAAATTCATGGAAGGTCAGATGTGCTCTTCAACAGGTGAGGGAGAACAGAGGGCAGAACAGAGAGCTGGCTGCAGAGCCCTGGGGATGAAATTCTCCCATTTGCTCCCAAACTGGGAGGGAGTGAGAGGGACAGTCCCTGCTGGCCTCATGGTGTCTCTGCCTCTTTCCCACTGCCTCCCTCTTCCCGACCTAGCTGTCCCAGGCCCAGGGCTGTAGGAGACTCCTGTGCTAATGGGAGACAGAGGAGCAGGGCTGCAGAGTGTCCTCGCCTCAGGGAGGGTGAGCAGCAGCTTTGGGTGCACATGTGATTTTTCCGTGCTGCCTTGATTAACGTAACATAAAACAAAACGTCATGGCTCCTGCTAAGAACGTCCTGGCATTGCTGATGTGCAGTTAGAAGGATGTGCTTGGGGAAAGCCCTCCTCTGTCCCTGGAAGCACCCACAGCCTGCCCAGGGCTGGTGCCCCTGGCTTCTCTGGCTGGGCTCCCAGTGGACAGGAAGACCCCACAGTGCCTTTGGAAGCATGCACACACCCACCCATCTTTGATCACCCAACATATTCAGAAAATATTATAATTGAATCAATTCAGAAAGAACAGCTAAAGTGGATTCTAATTGAAATGATGTGGAGGCTTCTTATATTTTTGGAAGTTTCTGAAAATATTTCTGGGCTCCAAAATAATTTTAATGTCTACTGTTCCCCTCTTCAATATGAATAACTCAGAAATTGACTCCTAAGGTCCATGTGAGGAGGATGTGTCCAGTTTATGGAGCTCACCCTCCTGGACTCTGAGCTCCCTGTGATGGCTGCTGCTCCTTTTCTTCAGAGTAAGGGGACTTGGGAAGGTCTGCATTGTGGAAGGCTCGCCAAAGGAGAAATTCACTACTGGGAAACTGAGATCCTGAGTGCTTAACCTCTACCAGCCATAATCTGAGTCTTTCCAAGTGTTACTATAACTTATATCTATGCTAAGATCTACCTGTAATATGCCACATGATAAAGTACATAGTTTTATAAATATGCAATTTGCAGTGGTATTTATACATAATACTTACATCTTTATAACAGGGAGGGAGTGCCTTGCAGGAAATCTGAGTACACAGCCCACCTCACATAGCCGGAACAGGACCTGAATGCAGGTGGCCAGGCTCCACAGGCCTCTCAGTGTCCATAACTTACCTGCCCCCAGATGCCTTCAAGAACAGCTCTTTTTTCCTGAAATTGAATAGAGAGACACTCTATCACTGAGTTGCTTCCCCCATCCTTTCTGATTTTGACTTTGAGACAGGGTCTCTGCAATGCCCAGGCTTCCAACTTGCATTCTCCTGCCTCAGCCTCCTGAGTGGCAGGCCACCTGTGTGCCCAGCCATAAAAAAGTTTGAAGAAGTGACCTGGTAACTGTGCTCCTCCGCAGCATGCCTCTCATCTTGAAAACAGACTTCACATCCCAGCTTTCTGTTCCTGACCCACATGCAGTATATCAAGTCCAGGATCTGGCGTCAGATGGCCCCAGGGGTCTCCTCCACTCTGTCTCCCTGTGGGCTGCCAGGAGGTGAGTTTAGTGTTAGAGTCTGTAAACAAGTCAGGATGGCGCCTGGCATTTTGCCAGAGGGAGTGGTTTGTGAAGTAATGCCAGCGAGCCATTAAGTGTGGAGATTCCTTATTGGTTGACTGCTGTATCTAGTTTATGTTAATTAGATAAGCTGTGTGGAATGTATAAATACCTCTGTTGTCCTACAATAAATGGCTCTGTCTGGCCCAGAAGCCTGTCAGTAGATGATGGATTAAGAAAATACAGTACAAACACACAGTGGGTTTGACTCAGCCATAAAGAGGAATGAGATCATGGCCCTTTCAGGTAAATGGATGGAACTAGTGAACATCATGCTAAGTGAAGAAGACAGACTCAGAAATCAAGGGTTGAGTGCTTTTCCTCATGTGTGGAAGAGCAGAATTAGGAAAAAAAAATTAGGAATCCCATCAACAAAGCAGGGAAATCAGTGGAATAGAGGAAAGGGGATGAGGAAAAGGGAAGAAGGATGGGGAAAAGAGAA